TTGTTTTTGTTATATATTAATGATATGCCTGATATTTTAGAAAGGACAACCCCATGTCTTTATGCCGACGACACTCAGATATCTTCCTCTTCGCATGATTACGATACATTGATTGACAATTTGAATATGGACCTTTCCAGTATTCATAAATGGCTTGCTAAAAACAAACTAAAATATCATAGGAAAAAAACCAAAGTCATGTTTATTGGATCTACGCATAATCTAAATCATAAAATAGGAAATAGACCCGTTGAGATTAACAAAATCCCAGTCCCACAAACCAATACATTTAAATGTCTAGGTGTAAATCTAGATGAAAAATTAAGTTGGGAGAAACATATTGATTCTGTATGCCATAAGATTAGCGCTGGAATAGGAGCAATTAAAAGAATAAAACCTTATGTTCCACACAAAACCGTACATGATGTCTACAAAACATTAATTCAGCCTCATTTTGATTACTGTTCTCCCCTGTGGGATAACTGTGGTTTGGGACTTCAAGACAAATTGCAAAAATTCAAAAATCGAGCAGCAAGGGTGATTACCGGAGCTGACTACGATGTAAGATCGTCTGAAGTCCTAAACAAATTAGGCTGGGAAACCCTGGCTAGGAGACGAGAACAAAACAAGCTAGTATTGATGTATAAAGTCTTGGGGAACCACACTGCGCCAAACCTTAAAGATCTTTTTCTCGGAGAAATGCATCGCAGAATATTTATGATTTACGCAATAGCGAAACTGATCCCTCGTTAAAAAAACCGAAAACGGAATTTCTAAAGAAAACATTTGGATACAGTGGAGCAATTCTATGGAATAGTCTGCCGCAAGATGTCAAGGCGGCTGAGTCAATTACGTCATTTAAAACAATGGCGAAATTGCATTTAAGCAGATGATAAGCTAATTTCTCCAGGACCAAATGATGGGAGGACAATATAGATTGTGGGCGGGAGGGGGTTAGTTTTGCGTGAGGGTGGGTGGGTACTTGTTTAGGGGGTGGAGGTTTGGGAGGAAGATGATAAAATTTTAGGGTGGGATTCTTACATACTTTGTTTTATATATAATTAACATTTAGCTCTTTGTGTGTATACGCCCTTCGTGGAAACCAGTTCTAAATAATTGTCGAAGTTAGCGTATTGAAATAAAGTTTTACATACATACATACACGCTATACACAGAGCAAAGTTGTACCTGCTGTGAATTCGTACGGACTAAAAACATGCCAGCTCTGTGCGTCTGCCGTTGAGATTTTCAATGTCGGTTTTATAGTCGATAAAACATCGCAACTTAGATTTTTTAAAATACTCTTACAATAATCTTCAACCATTTCAAATGCTGAAATATGGGAAAAATACAAAAAACGTCACTTACTTTCCCAAGAAACAGCAAAAACCACGGTCATTTAATAAAGAAATAAAATATCGCGGAGAGAAATCGAAGAGAGCGAGCACATGGTCTTCGAGTCGCTATGACGACATAATTATATATATTCACATAATTATTCACACCAGAACGAGGCAAATGTTACATCGCAAATCTCGAATCGACACGATTAGGAAGCGTTCTCCTTCGTCGAACGCAACAAGCTTCAATTTAAGGTAAAATTCAACCACAAACAATTCACAAAACGTTTTAAAGTGTTCTTTATAAAACTAAACTGCCTTTAACTAACTATTAAATGGCTTTATCGATAAACTTTGAGTTTGCAATAAAATGATTTCAAATTCTCGCTAATAACTTTGGTCTTTGCTTTATTTTTTATTTAAAAAATTCAATATAATAAAAAAGGGAATCAATATTAAAGTTACACTGAAATTTATATATGCTGTCTTGTTTAGTTGTTTCATATACGCAAAGGCCGTCGGGTTTTAAAGCCATTATAAAATCAATATTTAAAACAAACTTACCTTCGTTATCGTCGGCTCCCTTCTTTTAGCAGATTCTTTCGCCCTTTCTTTCTTGAAATTTACAAAATCTTGCAGAAATACGAGCAAAAATGAAATATATTTGCAAGAAATTTATCAATCATCAAATCAAGAAATGTGTGCTATTTCGGTGTCGTCATGCAGTCGTTATAATGCAAACTTTAAATTGGGACAATCAGTGTCCGTTATTCATGACAATCCGCCATATTTTTGGGATCAGTGAGGATGACCACCCATCGTTGGTGACCGACGCCCGCGCTCATTGATGAACTTTAGACTTCGCTAATGCTTTCGTTTCCCCGGGTGTAAATAGCCGGGGGGAATTATTACCCTCGCACGGCGCTTCGCGCCGCCGGCTCGGGGACAAATACATACGCCACAAAAAGATGCTGTGACACACTGATTTTGGTCACCAAATATTTCAGCATCGGCGTTTGAAAACGAACCACGGTTAAATATATCGTAATGCAAGCAAGAAATTCATGGAAGTAGAAACATGTTTCAGTATGTTAATTAACCCATTAAATGCCTCTCCCCTTGAAGAGTAAAATCGTCTGGCATTAGACAGAATAAAATAATAAAGTATGGCGCATGAGGGCGCAATGCGACTCAATGGGTTAAATTAACTAGACACCTGAGCAGATAGGCCAGTTAACCATTAAGTGCCAGTGCTCTCCTCTTGACGAGTGAAATCGTCTGACATTAGACAGCGAAAAATAATAAAGTAGGGCGCATTAGGTTGCAATGCGATTCTATGGGTTAAACCGTAAAATTGACGTTATGAGTGAGTGGGTGGGTTTTTAGATGTACTTGTCGACCAATTACAGTAGTGCTCAGAAATAACCTAACAGAAAACGCGTTCGGAACGCGTCCCGAACGCATCCGGAGCGCGTTCCTAAATGCCTTCCATTTGCGTTCCATTCGCGTTCCATTTGCGTTCCATTCGCGTTCCATTTGCGTTCCACTGTTACCCGAACGCATCTGCGGAACGCGTTCCGGTTACACGCGTATCGAAACCGGACATCGTCGGAAATCATCGTGATTTCCCGAGTATTAGTCAGCCTCACTTGCACATTTTGTGTTCACACTATAAAGCATGAAACCGCGTTTTTATATTTGCTTTCCACTAACGAGTCGCGAATCAAAATAACATATGATGTACACATCACATACATGTATATGCGTGGTCAATACTACGGGACAAAACAAAACACAATCTAGCTAATTTCCTCTATTCGCCATCAGGTTTCTGATGACCATATAGAAAATGCTCGTGCTTTTCACAAAACTCTAAAGGGCATCAAAATAAATAAAAACAGTTTTGAAGGAATTTTAATGACTTTAACAGTATTCTCTAAAATTATGGAAATTATTGTCAAAAGTTATTCACTCACGCGTGTGTTGAATAGGCTATTGAATTTCATTTCCGAAAGAGGTAGCCAAAACATCACAGTGTTTGGACTTTATAAAATTATCTTCAGACTAAACCCTGTTTACACTATCAAAGTTTCTGTGATCACAGGAGGAGTTTTAAATGGATGAACAAATACCGGAAAAAGCACAAGGTAAGGAAGTCGTCCAGTTTATTAGCTATTCTGTAGACTAGAAATACAGATAATTTCAATTTTAACTCATGCAACAATAGTACGCAAGCGATGTTTATTGCTGATATGCGTGTATTCGCGTGCCACAGTAAGGAAACATCATAAGTTGGTACGATTGTTAGTAAATGTATATTGCAAGCATGCACTTATTATAGAAATATAGAATCGACCCGAGATGTTGGGCAGTCAAAAATTTCACAGTCACGCAAGCTTGTTTAAAATCCGAAAAATGTTTTGGTATTTCCGGAAAATTTTTTTCGTATTTAGGAAATTTGGATATATTCCGGAATTTTTTTTTTGGTATGTCTGGAAAAAAGTTTTGAGACCCCCCCGTCGCCAACACTACCGGAAAAAAATTTTAGATGCCCTTTTTTATTCGGAAAGTGCCCCTCCTGGCCAACTCAACTTTTAGAAGCTTCCTACGCCCTTGTGTGATGCCCTAGGATGTAAGAAACCTTACAGCTAGGAGTATATAAAAATGTGTTTTAATGAAAGCAGAAATATAAGAAAAAATCACACTTATTGGCTTTAAATCTCCGTAATTTGTCAAGAATTATATTTTATATCTCTTTGTTTACACTTCAGCCGTATTGCACTATGCAATTTCCGTTGTTCTTAACCAATGGACAGGCGATACTATTTAGTCACAGCCAATGAGAATGGTCTATTTGTTGCACGGCAACAGGGAAAAAGAACTTTGTAGATTTCAATGTATTTCAACATCATAAAGGCCTGATTCCACGGACGCTTTTTCTCGGCGAAATGCGAAATATTTCGCCTGTTTCTTTTGAATTGTGGGCAATCAAGTAGAAATAATTTATTCGAGTGGTCGCAATTCAAAAGAAACAGGCGAAATGCGAAATATTTCGCCGAGAAAAAGCGCCCGTGGAATCAGGCCTTAACAAAGCGGGTTTACCTGTGTTCAAAAATGCTTCAATTTTAGCACTTAAACTGCGAATTAAGCCTGGTAACAGCCCAAACCATTATAAGTATGCATATTCGAATGTGTTTAGCAATGTTACTTGCTTTTAACAAAGAATTGCCATCGAACTTAATTTTTTGCAAGCTTGGCCGGCCGTCTACATAGATTTGAAGAATGAAGACACATTTTATAATTTATGCTAAATTATGCGAATTTATTTCAAAATCTACAGGGTTTTTTAAATTAAAAGTGAAATAAAATTTTGATAGCTTATTCAATAAGCTTTAAAAAGAGGTATAGCTTGTTTTGTAGTTGTGGATACTTGTTGAGAAATAAGCCAAGCGAGAGGTGCGCTCAATTTATGGTGTTTTTGACCAGTAATGAAAGAGTAAACTCCCAATAGAAATAAGCCCACCTAAAACGCGACGGGGTACTCTGATTGATATTCGCATCTATTAAATAACGAACAATGTAATCTACCCGGCAATTAAAGGATATACATGCAGGGTGTCCCAAAAAAAACGAAAACTATTGAAATCACTTATTGTTAAATTTGAATGCCCTACCAAACAGCTGGACGTAATGATGCGTAAAGGCGCATGTATTAGAATTTAGTTAGGAATATCTCCTCGTAAAGTGCTGCTCCTGGGCTCTTGATACTTCCTATATGGCATGACTGCGACGAAAACTTCTTAAAGATTAAGCTCTCATTGTCATGTAGAAAAGTATAGCCAAGTTAGAGTATAAACGTTTCGAAGTTTGTTTGTCATTGTTAACAAAAATTTAAATTTCGCCTACTGCATTGCTTTAGCACTTTATATACACCGATTGTTTGCTGAACATGCGAGAAGATGATCACAATATTATTCTACGTAAACATCGTGAAGTTCAACGCTATAGTTTCCAAAATATATCCACGCAAGTATGTTGAGAATTGCCTCCCGTTGATTCCCAACATAAATTAAAATTACAAACACTGGGTATTTCTATAGTTTTATTGACAAAAATCTCATGCTTCGCTGTGTTCTTTCCCGAATCCCTCGATATGTAAACATTCTCAACGGTATATTCCGGAGCTGTCCGACTGTCCGCGAGTATACTCGCATGTCCCACGCGATAATAAAAAAGCTAAATATAGTTTCTGACACTCTCCCCCCATATAGCTTTTTGAAGGTATATGTACTGAAAGGAAACTTAAATAATCTCAATGTTACTAATGTAAGGTCTACTAAATGTCATCTATTAGATATAAACTTTAACGTCTCAAAAGGATATACTATGTTCAATTTCTTGTTCAAATTTCATCATCGTTCGCTTGCTCTTGGATGCGTAACCTTGCGGTGACCGCTTGAGGGTAGGGATAAATTCATCGGTTTCCATGCTCGTGGTTAACTCTAGGTAGAGGGCTCGCGTTAGACTACATGCGTAGAGGGTTATATACGCCTTTCCTTCCGTCTTTTTGGTGACGCGATACTTGATGGGGCCGGCGAAATCGACGCCTACGACCTGAAACGGACGATCACCTTCTGTTCGGTCTACGGGCAAGTTTCCTGGAGGTGGTTTACTAACTGGCTTAGCATGAAATCGTCGACACCCGTGGCATCCCTTTACGGTCTTCTTTACAAGTTGTCTTAGCCTTGGCACCCAAACGTTCTCTCTAATCTTGGCCATAGTGAGCCCGACTCCCCCGTGTAACGTGCGTTGATGCGCATCTTCTACGAGTTTAGTGGTGTAAAGATGACTGTCCGGTAAAAATACGGGGTATTGACCTTGCAACCGACCTTTGCACACGAGCATACCATCTTCATTCATTTGTACACCCAGGCGTTGCTTATCGTCGCTCACTTTGTCGTCTAGAATTGCTTGGGCTTGTTTTACATAAGCGCTGTGTTGGTCGTTTATCTCTTGCGTTGTCAACGGTCCCGACCGTGTCTCTTTCTTAGTTGCTTTCGCTCGACAATTATACACAAATCGAGAAATCCATGCGTTTACTCTTACAGCTTTGTTGAGGGAAAACTTTGTCAAGATTTCATCAGGTGGGTTGGTTGGTTCTACAGCTAACTTGAACACTGCTCTTGTCGCTTTGGCTTCGGCTTCGCTTTCATGGGTTGCAGTCGTTACTATATCTCTTGGCCACTCGCTCTGATTGGTCAACCACGGAGGTCCTTTCCACCACAGTAGATTTCCAGTCACCTGTCCTCCCCGACTTCCCAGGTCAGCAGGGTTGTCTTGACTTGGGACATGACGCCAAATTATATCTGGGCAAGCTTGAATCTTTCTCACCCGATTGGCCACAAATTGTTTATATTCTCCTCCCCCTTTTAACCATTGCAGCGCTACCGTGCTGTCTAGCCATCCGTAGGTTCCCGTAACAGGCATTCCATCAAGCGCTTGTTGAACATTTATCATCAGATTTGCTGCCATATGGGCGGAAACAAGTTCTAGGCGAGGTATGCTCAAGTCCTGTTTAGCTAATCTTGCTCTGGCAGCGACTAAACCCACGTTGGTTTCATCACCTTGTTTCACAATTGCATAAAGGGCTGCACAAACTCCTTTCCCACTTGCATCCCCGAATGTGTGCAGCTCAATTTCTTCTACAGCTTCGCGCTGAGTTGTCAAGACTCTCGGTACAGTTACACGTCTAGGCAGTTCCCTTACCCATCGACCATATTCTGCTGCTTGTGGTTCTGGAAGTGATGCATCCCATGCTGTTTTTGCCTTGCACGTTTCTCGGTAGATTGTCTTTCCCTTGAGTGTCACAGGTGCTACAAGGCCCAAGGGATCATAAATGCTTGCTAGATTGCTCAAAAGTTCTCTCTTAGTCACGTTCGGTTTCATATCGGGGACCACAACACTGAACTCATCAGCTTCCTTGTTCCAGGACAGGCCGAGAAGACTTGACTCCGGATCGGTTGGTGCACCAAGTTGCTGTTTGGCAAAGGTATTCTCCGTCTCCACGCTGGACTGTTCGCTTTCCAACTCAGGATCATTTGAATGCCATTTGTGTAATGTGAACTTGGCATCTTGAAAAATCTTAATAGCTCCTTCCTTCAAATCCTTTGCTTCTGCTACGGTTGGCTTACCACTCAGTAGGTCGTCAACATAAAGGCTTCTACGGATTTCAGCGACCAACTCTGGTTCACGTTCTTTCCACGATTCCAGGTGACGTTCGACGACACCGCCGAGAAGGAACGGCGAACACACTAGACCAAATAGCGCTCGCGTGAATCTCAATGTTTCGACTAATGACTGTTTATTGGACTTCCAATGGAATCTGAGTGAGTCTCTCTCTGCTTTCCTGATACGGACTTGTAAAAAAGCCTGTTTAATGTCCCCGGTCACTGCAACTGGGTGAAAACGAATGCGTACCAACACGTTCCACAACCGATTTTGAAGCGGAGGTCCTGCATAAAGACAATCATTAAGGCTTGGTTCTTGTGTGTTTTCTCGAGCTGAAGCATCGTAAACAACGCGTAGTTTGGTTGATTCAGCTTGTGTTCTCATAACAGGTTTGTGGGGTATGTAAAATTCTTTCCCGGTTGGTGGTTCGGTTGCAGACTCCACTATCCCCTCTGACTTTTGTTGATTGATCACCTCTGCATACTTCTCCGTCATTTCCATCCGTTGTAGCTTGTTATGGAGTTGCGTTAGTCGCCGTAAACTGCCTGTTTTATTATTTGGTAGAGGGGGGTGGCTCCCTTTCCAAAGTAAACCTGTCTCGTACCACCCTTCCTGATGTCGTACTAACTGCTCACGAAATTCTGCATGGACCGCATATTGATCATGTTCAGGCTTGTCCTCCAGCCCCAATACGTCCAATCTACATAAGTCCTCGTAATCTGACTGGCTTGTCTGTGTCAGAAGCATCTTTGAGTGGTCGAATTCCTTACCCGGAGACATCATTGTCCATCCGAACCTGGTCTTCTCCGCTACCGGTTCCCCTGGAAGACCAACACGGGGTGGTTCTGCTGTCTTGATAGCTGCGTACGCGCTTGCGCCCAGGAAGAGATGTACTGGTAGAAGGGGTTTAGTATCGTTGTCCTCCATACTTACTCCCTCGAGATGACGATACGAATCAACCAGAGTTTGGTAATTTGGATTGGCGATCATTAGTAGGTTTCCGCGTTCGACTCTTGTCACTTCAACATCCATCTTAAAACTGTTGTCAGTAGCTCCCACGCTGATGGTAGAAATAGACACTTCACGAATAGTCGAACCCAACATCATTTCTATTTGTCGAACTTCTTTGGATTGAGATCGTCTTGGAAGTTTGTCCAAGAGAGCAGCAGAAGCATAAGAGCTTCCTGCTCCTGTATCAAGTAGTGCTCGACATATCACACCCTCAACGCTTACGTCGACGACTGGGTATACCACTTGACTTGCACTCCCCCCTGTCGCTACCTTAAGACTTTCCTTCACAGTGCATATCGAAGTGTGGTGCTTTAGGTTGCACTTCTGACAAACAGTTGTACTTCGACACTCATTAGCTCGGTGTTTTGGGCCCGTACAATTAAAACACAATTTCTTCCTGGCTAGAATCCCCTTCTTGTCATCCACACTCACCACGCGTGTACACTCTCGTGAACCATGGCTGACGTCATCACAATACACACAAGGGCGTTTACGGGCATTGGCATTAAATAGACTTTCTCGTCTACTCCCCTTTCGTCTCTCTTTGTCACCGTCCTTGACAATCTCTTTATCACTAAGGTTTATGTCCCTCCATTGTTTTAAAGCTCTAAGATGTGCTAAATCCCATTCTTGCCAATTCCCTTGTCCTCTCACTAGGTCACTCTTTATCCCTGGCAATTTGTCAAGCACACTTCGTGTCATTCCATTCACACGCTCAACTTTTCCCATTGTTTCAAGTGATTGTACATTAAAAAGCAGAATTTTATAGAAATTGTTTATCTCACCTGGATCAGTACTTTTTACCACTGGTAACTCGAGAATGTTCTGGACATAGGCATTGACAATTTCGCTCGGTTTGCCGTACTCTCCTTTTAAAATATTTTTTGCCCTTTCATACCCCTCTACGGTTAGAGGCAACCCATCGATATCAGCTCTCACCTTCGGCTTAACAAACTCTTTCAAATAGGTAAACTTCGTAACAGGCGACAAATCGGCACCGTCAATTTCAGCAACAAATTTGTTCCAAAAGGGTGGCCAATTCGCACATTTCCCATCGAACTGCGTAATAGATAGCTTCGGTAATTTTGTCGACGCCGCTTTCTTTACTTGGTTTTGCTGTCCCGTTGCTAACACCTTCTGAAACTTTAGCTGTTGTTCATAAAGTTCACGTTCGTGACTCATTTTTTGTTCGTGCTTTTCGTCCTCGATTGCCCTCTCTTGTTTAACTGATTCGGCCAATTCAACGGCCTGGTTTTCCTTCGCTATATTTTCTTTTATTCGTTTTAATTCTAACAATTTCTCGTCGGCCGTTTTCAAAGTTCCTTCAATGTCGACAAGCCATTCTTGCACTTGCTCTTCAGTTTGTTTCTGACCGAATTTCAATTCTATAATGTCATCTTTTAAGGCGTGACTCGCTTCGATTTTACCTTTGATTGACGCTTCGTGTCTAGTTATCACATCGAGGTTTCTCGTTTCGATTTCTTGTTCGCTTTTACCCAACGTAAATTTTAATGTTCGTAGTTTCCCATCAAGCTCTTGTAGTTTTGTCTCCATGCTTTTCTTTCACTTCATCACTCGATAAATAGCGGCCGTATATCACTGTAGTTTGTACGCTGTCGTTTAGTTTCGATTTGTCACTTGATAAATATGCTAGGTTCTTGCTCTTGTTCGAGCTTAAAATCTCACAAATCCCATCACGGAGGTGCCAGTTGTTGAGAATTGCCTCCCGTTGATTCCCAACATAAATTAAAATTACAAACACTGTGTATTTCTATAGTTTTATTGACAAAAATCTCATGCTTCGCTGTGTTCTTTCCCGAATCTCTCGCTATGTAAACATTCTCAACGGTATATTCCGGAGCTGTCCGACTGTCCGCGAGTATACTCGCATGTCCCACGCGATAATAAAAAAGCTAAATATAGTTTCCGACAACTTATGCACGCATACTTGTATGCGAGTTCTAATATAATTTTCGCCCTCGTGTACGGCGCTAATTCAGGAAACCACGACACTGCCCCTGGGCCCTAGCGAAATATTTCATGTGGGAGGTGTATAAAACATAAAGGTTAGTTACGATAATAACTAAATCCAGTAAAGTCGTTGTCAAAAGTGTTATTTCAAAAAGCTAATTCGAAAAAACCCTGATGTATTATTGGTGAAGTGTACAGTAACGGCATGTACATTGACATCATTGCACTGCACCATTGGTCCATTGTCATTGAAGTCATTCAAAGATTTTCCTTCTGCAAACCATAGCCCCAACCGAATAGACAACACAAAATTGGGTTCTTTTGATTAAATGGATACATAAAAATAATTACATGCATTCATAAATAAGCAACATATTTCCATTTAATAAAATATTTTTTTATATCCTGTTACAATGTATGTAATATTTACATTTTGAATTAAAAAATATATATACCCCAATTATAAATAAATGTCATTTAATATCTAATTTGCCATAAGTTGACGCGTTTGGATGAGTTTATACCCTCATCTTCGACTTATTTGGAAGAAAAAATAAATTACAATTTTGTTATTTACAACTACTCTATAATCGACCTCGCCATGCTTAACTTTCTCGATCATCCATTTCAGATACCACAAGAGTAGCAAGACTACGACCAATTAATTTATGTTTATAATTCATTGAATGCAGTCTCATGGTCAGGAAAGAAACTGAAATACAGTTAAATAGAAATCACGAAACAGAACAGTTATATCTGTAAAACTCTTGGAGGTCCTAATGATAGCTATTTTAAGATATACCAACCTAAAATAAGAAAGCTGCGGGTTAAAGGGAAACAATCAGGGACACCGGAACGATATGAAGATAAAGGGTGCCGGCAGATTTTCGTGAAAGGGCACTTTTGAATTGTTATATACTAAGAGATGTTTCCAAAACATCGGGAGTTGAACTTCGCGTAAACCGTTTTCTATTTATTGGATGATAGGGATGTGAGGGGGTTCTCCGCCAGGCGATTGTGCTATTCTTGAGGCTCGATGATTGCATTTCTTGCGTTTTCTGAAGCAAATTCGTAAAAGAATTGCACTAACATTTCTGACAATTCGCTATTTCGCCAAGGCAATCTTTTAAATCGAAAGGGCACCTTTGCCGGTTTGCCCCCTTGCCCCTCCTGGTAAAGGGCAACGGGGGCGGCTGCCCCTCCTGCACCCCCAGTTCCAGCGTCTCTGGAAACAACTACCTGAAAAATACAAGCAGAACTTCAAGGTTTCGAGCAAAGGCCCTTCGTCAGGAATTAACTTCCCGACGTCTTTGCCAAAACGTCGAAGTTCTGCTTGGTTTTTTAGGTAGTTGTATCCGCAGCTTTCTTATTATTGTCACTACCTATACACTGGCACAGACCAACATAAAATGAGCAATGTTTTGTGATTGACATGCTTAAACAAAAGTGGTATGAGTGCTTGTGATTCGTTAGAATCAATCACCGAACCTGTTCATCAGGGGCGAAACTAGCCCCTTTTAATTCGGGGGGTGTCTCCCAGAATTGCACTGCCAAAACCGATGATGCCCTGCAGCAAATTCTTATTTCTGGCGACTTATATTTCTGGCCACTATTTGGGGGGGGGAGGTTAAAAATTTTTTTTTCCTAACAGTAAAAAAAAGGGTCGAAAAAATTTTTCCGGACATACACCAGTTAAATTAAGCATCAAAAACATTTTTCCGTACAAATTCCTGTTAAAACATGGGTGAAACCCTTATTTTTTTACCAATATCTGTAAAATTTAAGTCCATAAATTCTACTCAATTCCCTCCGAAAGCCTTGTAAGTTACTTAATAACTCTACATTCTATTAAAATCTTTGATTGCCCTGGCAATCCAGATGATTCGCCCTGCCAATCCAGATGATTCATACTTGGGGGGGGTCACCCCTCATACCCCCTCAAGTTTCGCCCCTGCTGTTCATACTAGGTTGGTGTCGACCCACATGCAATTGCGCGAAATATATTCATTCAAAACTTGGCTATTCGTTTGATCATGATGTCTTTCCCCATTTTGTTCACTTATCACCGCATGCTGAACGTATAGTCGATTAGTAGTAGCAACACACCCATTCGACGTATACTGGCTCTCATGCATGAAGTCGATACTCGATAGGCTTACGATTGATGAGAATGAGGCTCCCGAGCCAAGGAGAGATTTGCGACGTAAGTTCTAGTTCAACGTCTCTCGCTTATCATGAGCTAACCTTAAATCATTGTTTGAGCCGTTTGCATAATTAGGTTCAGCACAATGGTATCAGTGAACTTCAGAATTTATCGTCTGTTGAATCCTAGACAACAACAAATAGCATATTTTACTTGAGATACCGACAGAAATCCCCATGTTGATAAAATCCCCGACGGCGATGACGAAAACTACAAATTACTGAATTCAGACAAAACCCCCATTTGAGTGAAATACAAAAAACTGTATTAATAATACAATTTACTCGCAGTTCCTGTTTGAAATTAAGAAACCTATGTACTATCTATTGAAGAAACCTATATATCGACCAAAAAGATCAGATTTTGGATCAAATGCTGCTCACCGTGGGCCATAATATTCGTATATGCATATTTACTGTAAATTACAAGGAGTTGAATCAAGTCCATAAGAGTTATTCTGTCACGAAAAACGGTGACAGAATGACACTTTTAGAGTTGATTCAACTCCTTAAAATTTACAGTGTTGGTCAAGTGAATAGTTACCTTTCATAAAACGTTTCTTTACTCTTACAAATGATATTGTGTTAAAAAAGTTCGTGGTATGCGTATGATAAACACAAATGTGGGATTAATGTCTGAATTCATTAATTTGGGGGTTTTCGGCATGTCGCCGGGTATATCCAGCGACAGCATATGACAGTCGGGGATTTTGTCCGTGCATGGGATGTTGTCGGTGGGGTTTTGTTATGTGGGTTTTTGTCATGAATTTGATCGGCATCATATAAACAATATAATAAAAATTTCCCAATATATACTAATTCTGAAAGATATCTTTCACATCGACACTTACATATTGACTTTCATCTAATATAACACCATTCATCTGGCAACAAGAAGAAATGACTGACTCAGCAATATATTTCCAGCCTTCAGCATCTGGGGAGAAAGATGATGATTATTTAATACGTAGTTGCACTCGACTTTTTTTCTTTTTTTTTATTTAACCCGCTCGCGGATGAATGAATTGGGCTGGGTCGCAAAAGAGTTAAAACATATTTTTACGCTCATCTAGGGGGCTCACTTCTTACAATTGCAAAATGTTTAAATAACATGCCAAGTATATCATAAAAAGAAAAAAGAACTGACGGAAGTCAAGAATCGTGCAAATGAAAACGTTTTGTTTCATTTATATACTGTAAGACTGCACAAGAGAAAATAACTCTCTGTTTGATTCTAATGATAATGAAGATGACCCATGCAAAAACATTTCAACAATTTGCGCGTCGTTCATTCTTGACCAATCGTCAGCAAACATCTGAGCAGCAGAGGAGAGCAGTTTCTGTCTTTGGGCAGCAAAAATTGGACAATGAAGAAAATAATGTTTCATAGTTTCAGTATTAAAACCACACATACAAACTGGGGATACTTTACATCCTATTTTAAAGAGATAAGAATTTAATGCACAAGCACCTAAGCGCAGGCGAGTGTGATAAACAGAAGAAAATCTATCATTGGATAAATTATAAATAACATTTGCAACAGGTAAGTCAAAAATGGTAACTAAAGCGTTTTTAAAGAAATCGAGTGAAACTAGCGAACGCGTCTCAATATTTATACTATTCCACAGTCTTGCAGCAGATGGGAAAAAGGATCCTTTATAACGTTCAGTGTGACTATTAAAAAGAGAAAAGTCTGAAACCGTTCTTAAAGAATAGTTTGTTCTTTCGTAGACTTGTAAAGGAAGTAATTCTTTAAGATAAGTTGGACTCAAGTTATTTACAATCTTATAATATAAGATAAGCTTATGGATTTTTCTTCTAGTAGACATACTTTCCCATCCCACTTCTTGCATGAGACGATGCTTACTAGTTCCTTTTATTGCCCCGGTTACAATCTTAGCTGCCTCATATTGTACATGCTCAAGTAGATCACAATCACTGGCTATACCGTTGTCCCACAATACGTCCGCATACTCCATAACAGGACGAATAAGTGATCTATATATAGCTTGCCTAGAGTGTCTCTACTCACTTTAAATTTCAGGCCTTTTAACACATTTAACTTTTTATTAGCATTTTCAAAAATATTTACAATATGGGCTTTCCAAGAGAGGTTTGCTGTGAGTTTAACGCCAAGATGAGTGTGTTGCAAGACTTCACAAATTTTCTCGTTTGCAAAATAAAGATCAGGATGAGGTGGTTTAAGTCTTTTAACTGAAAAAGTCATGCATTTGGTCTTCTTTGTATTTATAGTAGCAAGCCATCGTTTTGCCCATTTTTTCTATTTCTATAAAGTCATTATTCAATTTTGTTGAAGACGTGTCTGGATTGTCAACAATATCATACAAAGAAGTGTCGTCAGCATATAATAAAGAATAGGATTCAAGATTTTCGGTGATATCGTTTATATAAATAAAAAAAAGCAACGGGCCAAGTACGGACCCCTGAGGCACACCTGCGTTTATATTTTTCCACTGTGAATACTGGCCATCTATGACCACTCGTTGTTTCCGATTAGATAAATAACTTTCAAACCAACTTAATAAAGGGCCTCCAACACCAATTAATTTAAGCTTGTGTAAAAGATCCTTGTGCCAAACTCTGTCAAACGCTTTACTAATGTCAATGAAAACCATTCTTACTTCTTTGCCTTGCTCAAATGCCTCGTAGATCTTATGTACTAAATATACTATAGTTGATTTACTGTCGAATCACCTGGCCGCTAGCCTGATTGCAATGGGTTTAAAAATGTTATATCCAACAAAAAATTATAAAGTCTTGTAAAAACGACTCTTTCAATTATTTTAGATAATGAATCTAACAATGAAATCGGCCTATAATTCAACTTTGACTCACGATCTACTTTAGTTTTAAATAATGGAATAACATGGCTTACAAATCGAAAGCTATTCGTCATGATTCGTCACTCAGCAAGTACTGTAAACAGAAGTAGTCACCCCCCTGGACGTGTGTCATTTGGGATATTTTCAGGGGGTGACTGTTTCTGTTTACGGTACTTGTTGAGTGACGAATCATGACGAATAGCGCTTACCCAAAAAACAATGGAGATGGACATCTGTATAGTATTCTGTGGTTAAGCTATACGTTTACACGTGTACGATTCGTATTCTGGCGTATGTAATGGAATAAGCACGCGTATAAAGTGGTTTCATTTCAAATTTCGCCATAGTCTGAATGAAGAGGAATTGTGGCGTCAGTATAGTAACTTTCATACGCCAGAATACGAATCGTACACGACAAATCGCAGCGTGTAAACGTAGCTTTACAGAAGAAGTAAAAATGGAATTCGAAGTGACTGAAAACGAGGATATCCACAATATATTCACTGTTCGTTTATTCAATTCCCTGGCTAATTTAATAAGTCGGTTTCGCTCTACATTCCCCTAGAATGGAATGCTCTCTGCAAGCATGCTTGCACTGTCTGTAGGTGCATCGAATAAGTAGTAAACAAGACACAGAATCTGAACGTTTAAAACGTTTCACTTTCACATCGTATCGTTTTAGGGAAAAAATGTAAGTAGACTTTTGCTAGAAAGTGGAAGTGAAAGGGAAGTGAAGGAGAAATAAGTGAAGGAGAAATAACATTAAGCAACAAAAAACAGTTCATGACAAAACATACCTCTGTATTTAGCCCAAAGAACAAGTATTTTCACTTTTAATTTCTGCTCACACTTTATAATCAAGAATATGAATTTAATTAAAATCTTAGAACAAGCAAGGATACTGTGAGTGTGATGAATATACACAATATTTGAGCTAAATTAAGTTGCCTACCTTCCAGTTTTGTGATAAAACCAGAATAATCCTGCTTTTTGTGAGCAATGTAAAATTTTCCTTACAGCTTGATATCTCTTCGATATTATTTACAAAGAATTGAAGTAACTATATTAAACAAAATATTTTCATCTTTGAAATTGAATACATGCAGTATTAATGATGCATAGAGACGAAATGTTGACATGCATGGATGCTAAATACAGACTCTCTCCTCTCAAATAAGCTCCTCCCTGATAAGCTCACTTTCTAATAAGCTCGCTCGATTATTAGATAATCTCGCTTTCTACAGTAATAAGCTCTATCATTAATAAGCTCGCTTTCTGATAAGCTCTCTTTCTCTCAAATAAGCTCGCTCCCTAATCAGCTCGCTTTCTAATAAGCTCGCTCTCTAATGAGCCCTTTCTCTAATAAGCTTGCTCTCTAATAAACTCTCTCTCTCTAATAAGCTCGCTTTCTAATAAGCTCGCTCTCTAATAAGCACTCTCTCTCTCTATTAAGCTCGCTCTCTAATAAGCTCGCTTTCTAATAAGCTCGCTCTCTAATAAGTCCCTCTTTTAGAACAAGAACTTTATTAAGCCCATTTCCCCCTTACCTCTTCAGAACTAAGAAACATATACTGTTTAGATTCATTAATTGGACTGGGTATCTACGTTAGGTACTACATTTCTTACTGCGTTTCGGCAAAGTGGCTGCAAAGTTCATATTAAGCACTTTTTTATCATCCCTCCCACTTCAATAAGTTCTCCCCCTCAAACGTGCTTGAAATAAATTAGTCCCACAGGGATTTATGATAGGGCAAGCCTGTGTACCTTTTCTTGGAGGTCTCTGCCGTCTTTGAAAAAGATATATTCCTCCACAATATTCAACATACGACACACCTGAAATAGAAAATAAACACTGTAATAAACACTGTAACGGCAACAATCACTACAAGAAACTCGAGACAAATTGATGCAAGTTGCGCTTATATATCTGTTGAAACAACGCCGGATTTATAGCCGTAACGATCGCGACCATGTCAAGGTGGCCGATGTAAAAAAGTGTCGATAAATACCAAAAGATTGCAGCACACAAAACACAAGGTCAGACTATTTTACATCTTTGAAATTGCCTGGTTACAATGGAAAACGCATTAATTTTCCCACCCGCTCGGGGTTGGTGAAACACTGTGGAGGAGGTTTATATACTTACTGTCGTAACTGTAATTACGTCGTCTCTTCGATTTAAACAACTTAATCTGAGGTCTGGCAATTCATAATATGTTGCAGCACAAAGTAGACCAGGCAATGTTTCGTACGTTATAGAACATTTATCATTATGTATGTAGTCAATAACACCACTGAATATATCTGCTTCGAATTCGTTCATCACAAACTATAAAGAACAAAAAACAGTAATAAGTAGTAACCTCGCGAACATGTTAGCCTTTGCTCCGGCTGAAAAGGTTCAACCACATTCTTCAACCCTAGATCTCAAATCATTAATAATTCATGAGTAAATTAGCCAACCATATTGCTCTATTTTGCTCACATGATAATACTGGATACCTGATGAAGAATATCCTGGCCTAGGACTGGATCAAAATTAATTCAGTCCTTGGACTGTATAAAAATTAATTAAGTAGTGATTTATTCGTATGAGATGTCATTTCAAATCCTCCAATTCGGACTGGACTAGACTGAAGTCCTCGCATTTTGATCCAGTCTTCGGCTTCGCCTCGGACTTGATCAAATTGCGAGGACTTGAAATCTAGTCCGGTCCTCATAGTCGGATTTGAAATATTATATCTAGACTCCGGAAACCGAAACATTATGATGGTCGGAAGGCTTTGTATCAAAGGGGTGCTAACATGGTCGAAAGATAATGGCAGGGTTCGTTCGATTTCAAGGGTTTTCAAGGTCGTGTATCAGGAAATTCAAGGAGTAAAGGGCTAAAAAGAAGTCGTTAGAATGCAGTAACAAGTGACGTTAAACTTTAAAATTGCAACTTTAATGAACTTCAAACAGATCGCAAGACATGAACAAAATCAATTCCACAAAATGTCCCTTTTGTACACGCACAGATTTCAGAAAATATTCAAAAAAGCAAGAAGAATTCAAGGATTTTCAAGCATTTGACAAATTAAAGGCCTTGAATTTTTGTTTTGAAATTCAAGGGCTTTCAAGGATTTTCAAGTTTTGTACGAACCCTCCAATGGTCGAAAACGCCATAACCTCAGACAACAGTCGTCTTTTCGACTCGTTCTTGCTATAAAAGATATTACCCTTTATTTCAAACAAAATATCGCGTATCCATCGTTGGATATGCATGACGTTATACAACCGGGGTAAAATTATTTTGTATCTTGAGCAATTCTCGGGTCATTTTAATGATAATTGCTATATTTTCAATGCTGCTTATTTTAAATTAAAGCTCAAGCTACATACTGTATAAGCATTCCACTGATATTATGTTTTAGTTTTAAAATGTCCATCCTGGTTGTGATGCATGTCATTTAATTAGCTCTAATTACAACAAGACATGATAGCGGGTACCAGAATGTTTTGTTTTCCCAAAATCTCAAAAATAAAGATAGTTTGGTAATATTTGAAAAACGAATTTGTAAATAATCTCAACGTTCTGTCAAATTAGTCTCATTCAAATTGATTTGAAACTATTCTATTACCCATATTAAAATCATGAATGGGTAATTCCAGGTACAGACTAAATTTTGATCTAGGCAAATCCAACGCCACAGCTAGAAAGAGCATCTTAGGTCTGAGTAAAACTGCAAAGTTTGGTTGCGAAATGTTGTAAAATGAAGAAAATATAGCCCTGTGATATATATATCGCAAATTTTGTATATATTTGCATGTATTACACGCGGTAAAAATTAACCACTTTCGGCTGAAAAATGGTCGTTTTTCCCGCGCGCAAAGCAAATATATACAAAATTTGCGAAATCTACAGGGCTATATTTTCCTCATTTTTCAACATTTTGTAACCAAACTTTGCAATTTACTCATTTGAAGATGCTCTTTCCAGCTGTGGTGATGGATTTCGTTCTCCTTGTCTAGATCAAAATTTCATCTATAGCTGGAATCATCCATTCAATGTCCAATGGACCATTTGCATTATAGACTAAATTTTGATCTCAACAGAAATTTCATCACAGCTTGAAAGAGCATCACAAAATTAGTAATATTCCAAAGTTTCGTTGCGAAATGTTGTAAAATGCGGGTAATATAGCCATGAGAAGTTTGCCGTTTTCAGTCAGTCATTTTGTATTACGCAGGGAAATTGACAGCCCAATCGGGTGTTGGGGCATCAATTTCCCGTGCGTAATACAAAATGACTGAAAATTGCAAATTTCGCAAGGCTATATTATCCGCATTTTACAACATTTCGCAACGAAACTTTGGAATATTACTAATTTTGTGATGCTCTTTCAAGCTGTGATGAAATTTTTGTTGAGATCAAAATTTAGTCTATAATGCAAATGGTCCATTATGAGTAATTAATTGTTATGTGTACCTCTCTGGTTCTCCCTATGCAGTCGAGAGATATTTCATATGTGTGTCCTCCTTTCTTGATTGACGTTGTGGTTACATATTGATCAAGACTTGGTAAAGTCTGTAATGATGTTTCTATCGCAAATTTTCCTTTCTTTGAATTATTTTGCGTCACAGCTTGTGCTCTTGCTTTTTTCAAAGCAAGTTTGACCAGCGAGTCATCTTTAAGTTGTGCGGGGTTATTATTTGAAATGAAATTTCCTGGAAGTGCCCAATCTGTTAGCATATCTCGAAATACTCTAAAAGAAATTAAACACGAGACGCTTTAGATGTCAGAATCAATAAAATAATTCAATTCACGGAAATTATTCAGTCAATTTTCCTTAACAATTTGTGACATATTATGTACTGTGGTATATGTATGATAAAATAAATTAGTATTTTATATTAACTCAATATCATTAACTTTATATCATTTATTTCTATTACCTGCTTTTGCGACACATGACAGACCTCATGCCATATATTCGCTTTTTATACGTCTTTCCTGTAAAACAATTATACTAATTTATATCTGGCTAGCACTTCACAAAATGGGGGGGGGAATTTAGGTATACACTCTGAAAACACCTTGGTTAAAATTTTCCTATTTAACTTAGAAATAATTAACCCAGTCATGGGTTAACATTCCTTGTTATTTTATATCACTTCCTACCATACGACCATAGTCTGGTTGATGTAAGCAGGAATCCGGTTATATTTGACCAGGAGGTCAAATAACCAGACTATGTTATGTGGATAAATAGCCAGGGGCCCCTATAGTTACACCTAAATAAAGTGCACAAATGACGGACTCGTTTGACATTTGCAAACATGGATGTTAGTTATATTATGTTTAAAAAACTCATTAATAATTCACGAGGAAAAGACATATGTGATAAAAAATCATTTACATAAACTTTAGCTTTGATTTTCTCGGCTTACACAAGTTTATTTTTAAAATTACTTCGTCAATGAACTCTTTAGATGCGTCGTTTTTCAAGCTATTTAAAACGCTCGCAGTCCGTGCTGTATCAGATATAAAACACTCGAGCTGTGCTCTCGTGTTTTATATCTGCATGATAAAGCACTCCTGCACGCTCGTGTTTTAAATAGTACATAAACTGATTTCTTTAATTATATAACGAACCTGCAAGGAAGGCCACATCACCAGAGTTTATCCCTTCACTTTGTGAGCAGTGAAAGTACTTTAGTTGTGGACTTGTATCATCGAAGGCATTGATTACATCGTCAGGAAATAATCCCTCTAAACTGGTATTAGATATAAAAGTCATAGTCATGAAAAATTATCAGAGTCGATTGAGAAATAACTGAACAGATGAATACTGACATGGAAAAGAGCTGAACCACAGAAACGCTCAGTCATTACAGAGGCAAAAGCAAAATCAACCAACGCACAGATATAAACCCACCTTTCTAGACTGCTGCTTGTAGATGGTGTTAAAGATGAAGAATATCCAACTCTAAATGAATAAGGTACGTATTGTGCGCATTGCTATTGCAGTAATTTTTTTTTTTGGGGGGGGGAGTGGAAGCGGAAAAATTGTGACTCTGCAATTTCATTTTAAAATTATTCATTTTAAATAATTTCAAAATCATCATATTTTTTAAGTTATTCGTTCATTTTCTTGAATCCACTATTCTTTACTCCATTCCACCTTATTTCAGATTTTTTAAACTCAAATATTCATTGAGTACCACTTCAATTAGATTTTTACTTCTTCAAAACGTCCCTAACTAGTTTTCAACACTGAATTTTGCATTGAATAACTATAAATAATTTGGTATTGAATAAATAAAAATCCTTAATTTAGTCAATAGTTATAACAAGCATCACGTCAGTAATGGCGATGTGGCTTTTCCAAATAGAGTCATATCATCTGCTGAAAAATTAGTTTCTGAGCATCCCAACCGGGATTCGAACCCAAGGTCTCTGACGGTTAGTACTGTACCAGTACTGTACTTAAAATATTAGTAAGCGTACACCCAACAGGGGATATCCAATCCACAAACACGATGGGCTTTACATTTAGCAATGTGGGACAATGTAAGAACCTCATTAGTAATCGCCACTTTTTCAAAGATATTACCTGTCATCCATAGCAGTTTCTTTGTCCAATATACACTGCATAATTTGTGATCGTGTTCTTTGCTGTATAGCAAGAAATATAATATGTTTTACTGCATTTACTACTGCACACAGAAAATAGATAGAAAACAAAATAAATGAAATGCATTTGGCGTGATACACTGTAACTACCTGTACTGAAGCAAACTTTGGTGCTTTGTAACAAGCTCTGTCACCATTGATAATCTTTTCTAGAAGCCATTCCCGAAATACATCTCCCTGAAATTATGACCATATTTAGCACATATTATATAAACGTCTCTAGTTTGGTTGATTAGCACGGCCGTAGCCACGAATTTGCGGTTGTGGGTGATGAATGCGAGTACCGAAGAAGCTGATTTTCTAATTTTCGGTGCTCCGTAAAGTATTAGTATTGTAGTCCGGTTGAAATTACCGATCCAACCGTTCCAGTGGCGGCGACGCAAATTTCGAAACCGTCGACGGTCGAGCACATCATTGATGGTCGAACACATCATTAATTTCGTTCCAGATTGCTTTTGAGGTGATTAGCGCGTGGAATCATTTGGTGACACCTTATACCAATCGATGCCAGAAAAGATTTTACGCAGTATGATAGTATAAGGTTTCAGATTTTTGAAAAGATGGCATGCAAAGCAGCCAATTCGGTTATTATTCATTCTACAAAAGAGTTCAGAGTTATAAACAGATTTTTCACATTAAGTGTGGGCTTAGTTGTGTTTCAGTAAAGGCCGATAAAATTGGCTTATATTGTGTAAACGGCTGCTGTAACTTGGTCAAAAAAGTTCCGTGCGTCAACTTTTTATATTCATCAAGTTACCTACCGTATTTTTAACGTATACGAAGTCACGACAGCGAAGAAACGAATTTTAAGGCAAATTAAATATAATGGCACAGTCGGAGACCTGCTCGCCAGTAACACAATACGCTAAGATTTGTTACTAAAGGCCCTGTCACACTATTGCGTATCGTACTATCGTATGCCAGCGTATGAAAAATATCACTTATACGCCGGTATATACGCTGACATACGCTAGGGCTACGTTAGACATAGGTTGTATACGTTTCAAGCACGGTCGCATACGGTGGCATACGCTGGCATACGGCGAGGCAGAAACTTTTTTTTAAGCATGTTCAAAAATTTTGTGCGTATCGAACGTATGGTTTATACGATAAGCATACTCTAGGCACACGCTGAATACGCTAGAGATACGCCAGATGTACGGGCTCATACGCTGGCATTTCAAAGGATTTTTGTGCGTATAAAAATTATTTCCGATTAATTTTCATACGCTTCTCATACGTTTCTCTCATACGCAATAGTGTGACAGGGCCTTAAAGAAAGCTTGATATGTTTTCTATTGCTCAATATATATATGAGTGCACGTGGTTCAAGTAAAAATGGAACCGCACAGCTTAATAATACTATAACTAACATTTCACTTTTACTTGAACCACTCAAAATATATCATATTTCAATTTTAGCATTAGCCGTGGACTAATCAAAAGTGCAAGGTTTATAGATATATTATTATATTATAGATAGACATTATGTTAAAGCTAACTGTAAATAGCATGTATAATATTGTTGCTAATGTTGGTATTTTCCACGTCACTCTGCAGTTGTGTCTAGTTTTGAGATGGTTCTCTATTTTTCACTTCACATGAGTTTTAATTAGTGAAGCCACTTAGACACTTCAAAGTTAAGATAATCAAGTAAATTTTACAAGATAGTTACTGCAACACTTGTGCGAAGAGCAGTAACCAGTAAATCGAATTGGCTGCTTTGCTTTTCGACTGCTACCCGCTATCTTTTCAAAAAATATGAAACCTTATACTGCGTGAAATCTTCAGTCACTGACATCGTCTTGGTACAATATGTCACCGAATGGTTTGTACGCGCTAATTACCGCTGGCGCGATCTGGGAACGAGATTAATGATGTGTTCGACCATCAATGATGTGCTCGACCGACGACGGTTTCGAAATTTGCGGCGGCGACGGCCCTGATCCAGGGGCCGCGGAATCGGGGGTGGGGCAATGGGAGCATGTGCCCCCACTTTTTTAAAAGTGAAAAAAGTGCCCTTTCTTCTGGGCTAAAGTGCCCCATTTAAAGGATGAAAAAAGTATTTCTTGAATGAACGCCCTCTTTTGCTGGAAAGAAAGTGCCCTTTTTGCAGTAGTAAAGACACTGTAAAGGCCATTTCCGACGTTCTAGAGACTCCATATTTTCAAACATTTTCGTTCGGCTTGTGCACGACATAAAATCGTTTGATTTTAGTCATATATAAAAGTGCCCCTTTTAGCCAATGCCCCTCCACTTTCGAAATGCTTCCGCGGCCTCTGCCCTGATCAGATATGTACGAAACTATAACTTCAACTTGAAGTTAACGTTGACAATGTGATCCTATTGAAATTACTGAATAGTTCAATTATTGTCAGCCTCGACCTCGTACAATTGTCGCATGCACTTAAGCAAATTGAAGTGTCTATTACATTATTTAACTTAATGTAATTTGATATAGAAATATATAAACTCCCATTTTTAGCACTGTGGCTCATGAATATATTTTAGTGAAAGCAGATATAACCATACTTCATTAAATGTTCCGTCGTGGGACAATCGTGGACCAAACCAAGGCACTTCCTGTCTACAAATCACTGAAACCTACGAAAGGCAAAGAGAAACAATGGAATTGAATCTTGAAACCCACAATTCATATTCTGAACTTCATGTAACTATATTAAACTAATTTCTGCCTGATCATATCGAAATGGATGGTTAACAATGGATGATTTTGAATGGAAGAAGAGTGCTTAAAGGTCAATTTAAATTACATATAGATCAGTAGACTGAGGTGTGCGAGACATGGTGGGAATAACCTTCGTCATTATCGAGCTCATCACTGTTATGCCAAACCAGTTTGTATACACAGCTAGAAAGAATATTTTCACTCGTCCATTCTCATCTTTATTCGACCGCCTTATTATATATATGCTATATATAGCAGCTGTTAATAATAATACCTTAAACTTCATTCGGTGATCGGTGGAGGCAGGCAATACTTGGACCAATATGTAAGCGTAAAGGAACTGAGATTTAATCCATAGTGGTGAAAATGAAGTCTCAGGTTGGTCTGTAAATACCACGCAGAGAACGTCATTTCCAACATGTCTTTTCTTTCCAAGCTGTAGAAACAACGAATAAGTAATGATTGAATAACTGTTGGCGGAAGGCCATATGCCCATATATAGTACTTGAGAGACAAAAATATCTGTAGGGTTTGGAGAAATAGTTTCTTGGTTAAGATATACTGTATATAATCACTTGAGAACGCTCTTTACTGAGTCAATATAGTTTTGAAACTGTGGTGCTAAATGGAAATTCCGACACGTATATAGTCCTCAACTGGCTATAAACCTAGGCCTTCTGTTTTATTTCGGCGTTCTTTTACAAATATTTTATAATTCAATGTGTAAAACGGCGAACATGTTCGAGAAATTCAACTGCCCGTCCTCGTGACGTCAGCGTGCAAGCAGTAGATCTTGGTGTAAGCTTGTAGTATAGCATCGTAGTATAAGCTTGGCTTGTCCTATGCTAAAGAGATAGGTGCCAGGCCTTATAAATATATTGCATAACTTACGTATTTATTATCTTCTCCAGTATTTGGCATTAATGTTGGTACATGAAACATAATTCTGTTATTGCGATATTCTGTATATATTGATTGTGTTCCATTGAGACTGTTGGATGTATCAAGACCTCCGGAATAACCTTCGAAACCTTGTAAACTAACACGATCCCCCAACAGATGTAAGAATGATTCAAAAGCAGAGGAATGTGAAGTGTTGGAAAATATTTCGTCTTCACTTTGTTGTTCATGCTTGACATACAGCACCCCAATCTTGAAGTCAGATTTCACAAACAACTAGAGTGTAAAAATGTACCAAACTGTCAATTAAAGGCCTACACGTAACGTATTTTATTAAACTGAGGAACCTATACAGTGAGGAGCAGATGAGGTTTATTGGAAAGCAAAAAGGATATTGAGTAAACAACAAATGGTTGGAAAATCTCATAGTCATAGTTTGTCAACAATTACTAAGCTTGCCTATATACAATTAAGCTTGATTACTCGCGAGTGCTTTGAGATAAAGGTCATGTTACAAGAGGTAAGTGTTATTACAACATGCAACGCAATTGCGTTTGTTATAGTGTATTACAAGTTGCAAGTAATAATGCTCGTGTAACACCTCTACTGCTCTAGTTTGCAACAGATGTCGCAATAAAAAATTGCATCGAGAGTCGACGAAAAAGTTGGATTATTTTCCCCCGGTGATACGAGACAAGTTGCCTCGCCACCTTCGTGGGCCCTACGCCACTGCAACTTGCCTCGGACTGCTTGTAAAATTAACCAATCACGAGACAGCCTAGCCTGCAATCAGGACAAATTTGTCGATCCATAGTTGAAAAACAAAATTTATAAGCATTCCGTCCCAAAAAGAATTGGCGACGTTACACTTGTCTATACAATCTCACAACCACAACCTAGAACTTTATATTCGCAATGAAATACCACAATACGATCTTCATACTTTACCCGTTCAAGTTTAACAAGTTCTAAAGCAGCAGTGTGATGGGCGATAACTTGTAATGGTTTCGTTAATTTCAACAGTTGTGTGAGTGTTTCAATCCAGCTGAAGGGGTCACTGTAATGTTCATAGACTCCCAACAAAGATGGCGATGTCACAACATGAAGGCTGTGTAACGAACTTCGGACTAATATTCTAAATGAAACACAAAGGTTAACCTTACATTTTAACAGGATTTTCATACAATCCAAACGACAAGGGTCTCGCCAAGGGCTTAAGGCTCACAGTATAGTTAAATATATTTTATCCGAAAAAATGGGCAGATACAACAATTGCAGTGATCCGAATAGCCTATGAGGAATCGAGTTAGGGTTTATAACGTAGGCTATGGTCTGACCGAAAGATGTGAAGATTGTCAGAATGTGCAGTTGGTCAGACCGGTGTCACGCTGATATATATTCCCGTGTTTTGTGTATCCCCATTTTCATATATCAGTATCACTAGGGATTTGCATGCGTAGCAACAAGCAACAAGCCCAACCTACAGTACCTGAGTAACTTTGTTATACTAATGAGTATGGGGATACTGGCATTTGAACCCACGTTCTCCACTATGCCGAGTTTTATTTGGATTGAAGAATAAATAATATGCAGGGTGTTTATCGTAACCTAACTTGCATACAGCTTATAATGATGGTGGAACTTTCTTCGCACTATAGTGTGTGATTGTTTGCTTTCCATGTTTTGTACTGAAATTCTCCCATGAAGATTTCTGCGATTTAACCATGATTAGTCCAAACACGGATTAGGTATAGGATCACCATTGATATATCTACTTTTTAATTTTGATCCTGTCTATGATGGATCGCAACCGTGTGCCTATACGTTACTAATTAATTAGTGCTACTTCAAGTATATGATTAGGTATTTTTAACAGGTACTGCGGAAGCGGGGCCGGGGGGGGGGGTGTGAAAGGCGAAACATAGTAGTACGAAGGACCTTCACTCGAAGTGTCGAAGTAGGTAGTTGAATATCGCACTTTTAGGCCTGCCTACGTGATTTTTGTGCGTATATGTGATTTTATCGAATTAACTGTTGCTTATTTGTGCAATTGTTCTTTTACAATATGACAATCATCGGCAAGAACTACCGATCGATCTACCTATCATCGGGTAATTTACAGCAAGAACTTCAGTCATTCGGTCTATGAAAGTGAAGCCAACACGGCGGCCATTGACGTCCAATACTGCAATATAGCTCTAAGCCTCTGTAGGTCGTAAACAGCTTTTATGCCATTTCCCCCCAGCTAAATCCACTTTTTCTAACCGACTGTATCGCTAACTAAGTTATCAGTTCATAAAACCATAGAGTTTAAATCGATGTCACACTCCTTGCCAAGATGGCGGGAGTGTAAAATCGCTGCGCGGTCCCTGTTTAATTTAAACCATAAATTGAAGAAAGGGTAGATACAGTACGTGCATGATTACTTGATCAAATTCCCATGTTCGTCAAGTTCTCATAGCCAAAATGGGAAAACTGAATTTTTTTCGGAAATTTGTTTGGTATTGATATATATATATATATATATATATATATATATATATATATATATATATATATATATATATATATATATATATATATATATATATATATATATATATATATATATATATATATATATATATATATATATATATATATATATATATATATATATATATATATATATATATATATATATATATATATATATATATATATATATATATATATACACTATAATATTTCTAATACACTATAATATTTCTAATGCAAGATAGTTTAACTGCATGTATAGTACTGTATTTCCTGTGGCGGTAAAATATGAGGAATTGCATGAATATAATTGGAAATTAATATAAGAGGTTAATCGTGATAATCACTGTTCCCACTCAGTGACGTCTCTCTTCATTTTTGTGGTATAAATTCGGTAGACGTCACGGACTATAACAAAATGTGTCAAAATATACGCTAAACGCATACAGGGTCAGAGGGGCATTTTAATTTCCTTTTCACACATAAAGCTGTATAGACATTGTCATTGTCTTGAGTATAGTTGAGAGCAATATCCTGGCATTGTTTGCGGTTGCCGATCTCTGCTTTCGCTGCACGCGTCGCAGCACCGAACTCATCAAGTCTGATATTGATCTCTCAATCATATTGTTTTTCCGAAAATTGATAAGATGCAAGATAAAGCATGATAATTGATATGCATGTACTGTAAGCATTTTATACAGGTGCATGCATTCGATTTTCGACTTATATTACTTCGACAATTTTACAAGTATTACATGTATTACATGACTATATTCTATTAATCTATTGATCAACTTGATTAACTAGGTCAAAGAGCAAACCAAAATATCCAGCTGAAAAAAATACTTTAATTAAAAACACGCTGCCAAAGTGACAATAAATCCAATAATATCTGACCATTAGGCATTATGGGAAGCAACGCCAACACTAACAGTGAAAATTATTCAACAGTTATAAATTATAATTTTTTTAAAGATGTTTGAAGCGCAACCAGGATTATTCATCCAGAGTTTTTGGACGCTCTCTGGTTTAAAATATATATTTATTTCACAAGCTTTTGCAGTCTTCAACAAGTGTTTTAACAATGGCAAACAGTCGAAATAAATATAGATTTTTAACCAATGCCCCAATGGGCAATGGCAATTATAATTTGTTATACCGATAATTACATTTCAGCTTTATTGGCACTTTTCAAAATGCACTATTGTTCTCGTCGTTCATATTAGACCAGCTCATTCATCGTTGAGTACTGTAAAAAAGGAAAATGATTCCCTCTCCGATTTTGTACGAAGGTCAACTAGTTACGGCGTGCATTGAAACATTTATAATCTGCCCTATCGAGATGCTTGCGGAGGAGGCTATAGCTTATCTTCTCTTATCACAATTTTAATACAATCGCTATCATTATCAAGGAAGTGTTCAGGTGACTGCAAAGCAAACAAAAACATTGACGTCTGTTGCCTAGTACTGGTGCCTACATAATTTTTGACTAGGCAGATAAAACTCTTTATCTGTAGTTTTCTGACAGCTACTACTTGACTGCCGCACTGCTGTTAAACCAGAATTGTGAATCATAAATTCATCTCGCCAATCAATGACAATGTTCGTACGTGTGTCGCTAATTTAATATTCCATTTGAGGTTTGTTCAACAAATCAAGGTCAAACAAGTACAAATTATCATCCATATCCCATTATATTATCATAAAGATCACTGTTTCACAATAAGTGTTGATGAACATTGAGAGGATTAGGAAGTGCAAAGTCTGATTATGTTTGGCAAGGATATAACACTAATAATAATAATATATATAATATATATAAACTAACAAAGTGGCAATAAATTCTCAAGACCACCAGGTCAAGCACGCTAAGAATTCACATAGCCTCATAGGGTTTGAAAATGTGACGTAATGATTTAATCCGTCCTTTCGCCTATAGATAATAGTTTGACTGGCCTGAACACGCAAAAGAATAGATCTGACGTTTTCCTTATTCCAGCACGCAATTTTCCTTCGAACGAAATTTCGGGCTGCGGCCAAAAGTTATTTGCCTATAGCTATACCCTTGTGTAACCCTAACTAACCTCTTGTCTCTAGGGTCACCTTAGACCCCTGCAACGATGTCTTTGCTGACGAAAGGATATTGTTAGTTTAATACTTTATTACAGGTCTATTTTTTACTAACGTTTTGTATGTCAGTTATCATTGATAGACCAGTTAAACTGCGGATGCCTGCAAAACCGTCCGTGTCATTGTGTAGCAAGCGAAACTTTTCCGTTTCTAGTCAGTCACTCAGTCACTGACTGGGTGAATAGAGCGTGTTGACTGTTAATCGCCAAGATTCGTTATTGTAATTTCGAGGATATGCCGTTTTGACACTTGAATATTGAAGAGGAGTGGCAGTTTGCTTCATCTCAACCGGAAAAATTATTTCTTAATGATTTTTCAAACTGTGTAATGATGCTATATATGTCACGGAGGTGACATGAGCAATATTAATACAGACATGCGAAATATATTCAATTAATTTACTTCATCTCATGATCTTAGGCTTCTTGTTCTTCATGCAAGAACACATGAATTCCGACAGCCGACATGGTTCTCAACGCTTGAAATTACTTTGTATCTATCCACATAGAACAATGAACATAGGGTTGCACTTTTGCAAGCGTATCACTATTACCTACAGTAAGAAAGCAGCATGATAAAACACCTCCTGAAATATCTCCTCATATTGAATTGGCACCTAACATTCGAGTTATATACTAATATATAATTACCTTATGTACTCTTTCCCATGTAATAATTCCACTTTCAAACTCAGTATAACAGCTTCTATGTCGTCATCGACGCAGAAAAAGTTCCAGTGTTTGCAACCGTAGAAATAACCCTCATAGACTTGAATGTCAGAGCTTACAGCATTATCGTCAGGTGATAGTCCATTTTCTAGACACTCGTCTATAAAGCTTTGATTATCTGTGTGATGAGTCCATGAAATCTCATCCTGACGCCCATCAGTTCCACGACTACGATGTTCTAGAATATTATTGCTTTCTTTAAATTTTTTTAATTCTTCCATTCCTTGAGGGAATTGTCGTTCCATCACATCAGATGAACAGTCCTCTGTGTCAGACATGCCGTCCTTGTAAATTGATTCAGAACTTCCTCGAATGACTTCGCGCTTATTTCGATTCATAGTTCGAATGTGATAATCACGGTAAGCTCTCAAATTTGAGTCTAAGGTAATGTTATACCCTATGTCTGTCAACGACTTGCCTGATCGTCTTGACATCCAACACCGCATTGATTTGATCTGTTTTGGTAGACTCATGACACTCATGACAAAGCAGAACACATTTTCCAATACTATTACTATTCAATATTACTATTACTCTTTTAGCTCTTGAAATTCACCTTGTGCTATTGAAATCAACAAGTGAAATGTCAGAGTCATGATATTAAAATGCCATTTTAATAATCACTCGATCCGTCGATCGTTTCTACTTTGACAGTTCATCAGCTTACGTTCTAGCTCTGAAAATCCACTGCTCAAATATTAAATTTTCATAACAATAATTTCATGGTTTCAATTAATACAACCAGCTGGCTGCAAAACCTAAACTAAAGATTTAAACAGTTGAAGACTAGTGACGTGCGAATATTAAGCTAAGGAACTCGATATAAACTTATAAAGTCTCTACAGCATCCGCAGACGACGTCGATTAAAAGGCGACATTTCAAGCGTTGAATATCCTCTTCCTAGTTGTATTTGTGGCGACTATTCCGTTCAAAGTGCCTAAATATTATAAATGAATTTGCATTTTAATTGTGACAATTTTAATTGTGGTTTGTGCTTTCGGATCACTCTTATGACGTCACCCCCATCTCAAATAATACTAGATTCCAGTCTCTTCTGTCTTCACTCCATATTAAACATCAGACAAACATGGCGGCAAAAAGTCATTTTCAATTTTGTAGCGTTTGCAGTCGAAATCACAACTTGGGAAGAAGACATATCTACAGCAAGAAGCACTGTGCTAATATGAAACATACTTTAAACAAATATGGTAAAAAGGTATGCGGAAACGAAACAATATTACTGTTGAAGGAAGGAAGCCAAACAAGTCTATCATTGTTTATTTGTTTCATTCATTAATTTGAGGTCTTTGAAGACAGTTTTAAGTTTACTGTTTAGATTTGTAGTCTCTTTTCCATTTTGCGCATTTTACTGATGGGAAATTCAAATTGTATAATACAGTTTTTTCAACACTGTGATTCACAGTAATGAATATCTTACACAAATATAAATGAATCTTTCATCTTTGTATTAAATGAGTATTAAATGGCAAGATCAGAATTTGCATAACAGGAAAGTGTGAAGTATGAACAATTCAGGGGGTGTATTGTGTTAAAAGAGGGAGTTTTGGAAAACCTATGATGTCTGATAATTTTCCTTGACATTTTCTTCCCAAGGAAATCCAAGCCAGATTGGAAAATTTGTAGCATGGGCAATAAATCCCCAGTGCATTTTTCAGACATTTTCAGTTGCAACAGTGCACTTACAAGGGGAGGGGGGTGAACAGGTTTTCAGATCGTCGGATTTCACAGAAAAAATTGTCCAGATTTCGGATCTGGCGAATGTTTTACACGGATTTTGGATCTTATTAATACAGCAGATTGCGGATTTATCTAATATTTTGGCTCGGATCGCGGATTTTGCTTCAAATTTGGGCAGATCGGCGGATTTGTATACCCCTATTCACCCCCCTTACAAGACAGATTCACTTGCCGGCAGACTTTGGTCATATTTGGTAATAGAAATACCAGTAAAATTGTACACCCATACAGAATGGCAGACAAAATTTGATATCGCCTACACATTTTGCAAGCTTTCCAATCTTGCACCTAAGCATATTGTATTTCTTAGCAATGTGCCCAGAAGAAAGTAGCTGCTGGGTGAGAAAGTGCATGCCAAAAAGTTCCAAATGACTGCAAATCATGTTTGGTCAGATGTTTAATTAAACAAAGGAATGTAGACTTCCACAGAGTGTGATAATTGAAGATTTTTAGTTGTGCGTGACTGGTCAGCCAGTGACTATTAGTACCATGATGTGTACTTATAGTCTTTAAAATAAAAGAACATAAAGTACATGTAGGTTTCTGAAAAGTATATTCAAACTACGAGTTAGAACAAGAAGCACAATTACATATACAAACAATTGAGTCCAACATTCCTTAGTGCCATCAGTCCAACTTATGCTTCATGCCAAGACATGTCAGACTTACACATATATACCAACTAAGTTATGCTAGATTGAATATCTTGGGCTAGGAAAGGTCAAGTGGTACCAACACAGAGTAAGTCCGCAGATAGCAAAAGTTCTACATACCTATGGCTATGTGATACTTGCCTGAAAACAAAGAAGTAACAGAACATAATAGTGGCATACCTCTGGTACATATTTATGTATGCACCGTATGTATGCAAATTGTCGCACCCTGACTTCCATGTTTATAAAACCTGAAAACGACTGCTATTTACAAAGTATTGTCTTATTTCTCATTATAATTCCCTAATTTGTTCAAGTATAGTTGCTTAAAATTGTGCACATGCTCTACTATTTACTTGCCTAAATCATAAAAATAGGGCATGGTGTGAAAAATATGTGAGGAGAAGATGTTCTGTGCACGTGGGATAAAATAAATAGTCTGAAAGTAAAATTCTCTGGCAGTAAAATGAGACAATGTAGAAGAGAATTTAGTTTAGTTTCACAAATGTGGTGACAGAAGAGGAAATAACTGACATCCTAATTGATATTTACTCATCCCAATTGATATTTACATACATATAAAAATGTAAAACTATTTGTGAACATTTCTCTCAAAATGTATAGAGGTGGTTATGGTGACCATTCCTAGTGGCCAATGTGAAGCTAGTTCAAGCTGCTGTAGCTTATGTTTGTAATGATAAAAAAGGAGCTTTTTTATTTCAACTAAATGAGTTTATAATCGACATAGGCATATTGTCATATAATCCTCAACCCTTCTCCCTTGATGAGTAAAATTGTCTGGTGTTCGTAATGAACAACAAATAGAAAACTTTTCCTTCGCTTGAAACAACAAAAATAACGCTACTTTGTAAAAAAAACGATACAAAACACCTTGGATATTTTTTCTAACTTTATTCAAACTTTTTAGAGTTGAAAAAAGTTTAGATAAAGTGGTTTTTGTCGATAGGCGGGATGCAAAATGCTCGACAAACGTCATCATCGGAAAAATCATCGGCTTATTGGCTGCTGAGAAATCGGAAAATTCCAAATATAACATACTTCAGTCAATGAACTTTCTTCGGAATTTTCCGGTTTCTCAGCAGCCAATAAGCTATTAGTCGATGATTTTTCCGATGATGACGTTTGTCGAGCATTTTGCATCCCGCTTATCGACAAAAACCACTTTATATCCATGAAATTGAAATTGAAATACTTCTAAACTTTTTTCAACTCTAGTTCAATTTCTTATCCCATACCTGTGTTAAAAGCGGCTTTCTGATTGGTTTAGAGCAGGTGAGCTTGTCGTCGAGCTCACCTGCTTTTTGCCGAGCTCACCTGCTTTTCGCCCGAACTCACCCGCTAAACTGCTTACGTTGCAATGACAATAACAAATATGGCGGACAAGATTTAGCCGATAAACCTAAACTTTAAAGAACTTTTTTCGGTGACTAACATACTGAGACTGAAGAAAAACCAAAGAAAAAATGCAGTAAAGGTAATGTAGACGTAGAGGTATTTTCTTGCCCAGTGATTTTTTTGGCCGGGAAAATGTTCACAAAACATCGACGAGACGACGAATATATCGCGAAGAGCTACAAATGTGTGTATGGCTCGGTGTATGGGATAAAAACCAAACGTACTTGCAGGTTCGGTGAGTCCGGGATTGGACGCACCTCGGGTGGCTGGAAGTTTCCCGAACTCACCTCGCTTCGCTCGGTAAGTTCGGGAAACTTCCAGCCACCCTCGGTGCGTCCAATCCCGGACTCACCTCCCTGCAAGTACGTTTGTTATAAAGTTTGAATAAAGTTAGAAAAAATTTCCAAGGTGTTTTGTATCCAGTTTTTTTTTCAGAAAGTAGCGTTATTTTTGTTGTTTCAAGCGAAGGAATAGTGTGTGTAAATGTATTTTGTGAAAGAGTTGCCGGCCTTAGGATAATATACTATATGAAAAGACATGCAATGACGCAAATGACGTAAACATCGGAATCTGCATATATAATGAAAAAAATCGCTTGATGGCAAAGTCAGACAAACTTTATACACATTTTTAAGCGTTTAAGTTTAAGTTTAATATATTTGCTGGGCTGCTATGGTACATATTTGCTGGGCTGCTATTTTTGTTTCAAGAACATGTGAAACACTTCGTTTACATTGAAGAAAAACGAAACCCGCCGACGAAGAAAGAACTATTATTTTGTAATCTTATAAAATATTAGCAAAACAGCGAAGTAGTGACGTTCAGAGCATGCAAAAATGTTTTATGAGTAAATTATATTTACGCGAAACTACTTTGTTTTTACAAGGCTGCACTATTTTCACCGTTTTTGTAACTGCACAATTGCTTTGACAGTTTGTGCCTTCAAAGAACTCAAAATCTATCCCCAAGCTACAAATTAGACAACAAGACAAACGTTTTGACGATGAAAACGTAGTTTTAGCTTTGTTTATATTTTGTATTTGGCACTCCTAGACAAATTTAACATGGCGGATTTATATAAGGGCACGCATGAGAAAAAGTGAAGACATGATTCGTGATCAAGTACGCATTCTATATCTATTATTTCTATGGTCTAACGTCTCTTCCTCTGACCAGTCTGACGCCTGATTCTCGGAAATTAAATATTTACCTCCGCCGATGATCTCAATATTAAATGACCAGAATTTAATGAGGTGTTATATAAAAGATAATATAACTCCATATAATAGTAATAGTAAAATAAGTGTTTAGTCGATTAAAGAATCACTCATAACAACAGAGCTATATAATTACAAAAAGCTCTTCTTTTACGATTCTCATATGAAGGGTGTATAAAAGAAAAAGTAATCGAATTTCAACAGGCTATCGTGCTCAAGATATTGATTTAAATGAATTCCAGTTGACGTAATAATAAAGAGTAGGTTTTTAGCTCTCTAATAGTGTTGGTATACGCTCGTCTTTCAAATTACCGATCAAAATTTAATTTTTCCAAATCATAAACAGAATTTCATGTCTAACGACAGTAACGTTCAACTGTATATTGAACCCGTTCTCCTTCATAGCGTAGTCGTAGAGAAATTTCTTTCTTTCGTTAATTAAAGTGCCTATGACACGAAATTTCACACCAAATGTTTATGATTGCATTGTAAAGATCACTTAAAATGACTTAATAATTTCTTTTATAGAATTTTGGTAACTTGCTTCCTTTGCAAGATATTCAACTTTGTTTCATATGCAAATATCACCGGTGTGACATCATATCGCATAATGACATTTTGAAAACGCAATATTTTACCTTGAAAAAATTTTTTTACAAACAAATACAGAGGCTTAATTACCAGTTATGAAATTAATACATATACGAGGGCAATTTTTAAGTTTTTTAGATACGTATTCGTCAAGAAAACTATACTTTTCTGAAAACTCATTATGCGATGTGATGTCACACCGGTGATAATTGCATATGAAACAAAGTTGAATATCTTGAAAAGGCAGCAAGTTACCAAAATTCTATAAAAGAAATTATTACGTCATTTTAAGTGATCTTTACAATGCAACCATAAACCTTTGGGGTGAAATTTCGTGTCATAGGCACTTTAAAAGATTGTCTTGACAACAAATCAACTTTTTAATAATTTCGTTGAACATATAGCTATTAATGTTGACGTGTTTTCAATCATGCTTCAAAATGCCAACCATCCCTTTCAGCACAAAGCGGGCTTCGGCGGAGTTTCCACTTAACTGCTCTGACAATTAAATTTGCATGTAAAACCTAACGTTTTAAATCTTTCCGTGATATAAAAACGGTATCATTGAAATCATTGAAAAGCTAAAGACCTCCTCTTTCTTTCTGTGTAAAACTCAAATCTTTAAACTCAATATCCAACGCATGACGGCTTGCTGAAGTTGGATTACCTTTTTTTATACACCCTTTATATGACGATCGTAAAAATAGTTCATTAGAATAAAAGCGCTTTTTGTAATTATATAGCTCTTGTTATGAGTGATTTTTTTTAAATCGACTAAACACTTAATTTACTATAAAGTTTTTGTCCGAATTATATTAGTTTATAACCCGCTTGCAATATCGGCCATATTGAAACATTATCGTTGCATTTGCCATAGCAACGACAGATACACAGTTTTTGTTACACATTTGGCATTGTTTTTGGGAGAATATTGTTTGTTTTTCAACAAGGCCAAAAAAAAAATATGTGGGTTTCCGGTTTCTTCTTATAAAAACTTAGGTAGGGTAGGTCGGTTTTAACTTTTTTTTTTAAACTTTTTTTTTAATTTTCCGAATAAGCGGACGCCATTTTGTTTAGTCAGTGCTTCCACATCCAAAGATAAATTTCCTAATATTGCCTCAAATTTCAATTTTCCACAAACTTTTCCTCTAAAGTGGAAACACTTACAAGCATGATCCAATAAAAAAGTTTAAGGTCGGAATTTCGACGTCCAAAAGCTAGGTAGGGTCGGGAAACCGGAAACCCACATATTTTTTTTTTGGCCCAAGCAATTTGTTCAAAAAATTCACTCCTAAATGATAAGTTGTGAATTTTCTACTTTCTAAAAAGAACATGAGAAGAGAGCTATCATAAGTAGGCTCTCTTTAGCCTCCTCCGCATGCATCTCACCCGAGGAATCGGGTGGTCGGAAAAAGTAGGCTCTTTCGCTTTAAGAGATTTGAGATCACCTACGGAGGTGAATATTCAATTTCCCAGAATCAAAACTTTGAGACGCAAGACGTAGAAAAGAATGTAAAAATCAGTCCAGTCCAACTGTCCAGTCCAATCCATGTTTTGTACGATGCCCTTATATATCATCTCCATGTCAGATAATATTCTGAACCCCGTTGTCTATACATGTCTGTCTATATTCTATATTGACCGCGGTGCCGTAGCTGCAAATTTTTTTTCCGTAGACAGTCGGACTCCTCATTGATAGTCGGACGCATCATTGACCCGCGCCCTTAAACAAAATATTCAGCGGATACTCTTCTTATCAGATGCGCCTTCCCAGTGTGTCTTGCGCACGTAACTGGTGATTTCAAAATATTGTATTGTTTGGTTGAGATGTCAAAATCTGAGCAGGACACATTGTGGCTTCATATCTTGTGTGGTGATGACATCTAACATATTTTATTAAGTTATATTCGCCATTTCCACTTGCTTTTCTTTACTTTTGCAACTGTTTTTTGTAACTCTTTTCGGAGCGATTGCAGAATACCCGTCCACTTTTTAGACTTTTTAAGCTATGCCTTTCAAACATGGACACGATGTATTAATACATCTATATTTATTCTCAATAGATTAATAATAAATACATTGATAGTCTCATAGTCTAGTAAATGATAGATTAAAATCCCATGGTGGTAAAGGTAGCTACGAGGCATACAGTGACTTAGCATGAATAGATTAAATTGTCATAGTGTTAAAGGTAGCTCAATATATTCTAGTGGATACGCATGATACGCAGTCAAGTCGGTTATTTTGAGAACGAGGCATACAGTTAGATTAGCATTAGATCAAATTCTCATACTATAGGTAGCTCTATATTTTAGCGGATACGTGGATACGCAGTCAAGTAGTTATTTTGAGATCAAGGCGACAGTTAGCATTAATAGATTAAATTCTCATGCTATAGAGAGCTTAAATAGTTAAATGTGGTGTAATATGTAAATATGTTCCTCACAACCGGACATTGGTGTTTGACAGATTATGATTAATTAGCGTCGCTGGGAGAAAAAAAATTATATTATAAAGCATATTAAGCATAATAATATTAAACATTAAAAATCTTGCATGATATTTCTTTTATTGTATCAATTCGTAATATTGTCTTAGTAATTAGTTTGTGTATATTAGAATCAGGCAATAAGATCTGGTATATACATATCCAGTGAAATGTGGCTGGGCTACATGATATGATATTACTAGTGGACGGGTATTCTGCAATACTTCTATTTGTGGAAAGTGGTTTTGATGGTCGCTTTGAATCTTCCAATATTTCCTTGCACGCTAGTTATCTTATACTGATTCTGTTCAATTAGGATGGTATATAGTTTTAATTCGCAATAACAGTTCTTTAGTATTTTCGGAACCAGAAAAACAAAGTTTGTAGATTTGCTATAGCATCGCGAAGAAAATCTTTCTACACGTGGTCGAAGACTGGAGCAACGCGGAATGATGGACATATGGTATACCAGTGGGTTATGCAGGGTACGAAGGGATCGATCGATAACGCGCGGAGGCCTGGACGCGGATCAATGATGCGTCCGACTATCAATGAGGAGTCCGACTGTCTACGGAAAAAAAATTTGCGCCGTAGCTATATATTTCGCCCAAGGAAAAACCCCGTAATCAAAAGGTCAAAGGATATTAGTGTTTAAAATTTGTTTACCGAAATGCATATACTGAAGTTTTCGCTGGTGCTCAACACATTTTATTCGCGTCTCAATCGAACTTATTCATTTATAAAATTTTCGCCACTTTCAGAAATATGCTTGTTTGATCAAGTTCTACCATAAATGGATACTAATTTTAACTAAAAACTAAACCAAACCAAACTATTTACGTACTGTCTAAAAACTTACAGTATGTAAGCCTGATACAAATTATTTTGCAATCTTGATTCCCATTTTGATCGGACCGGACATATTTTGCAAATTTTTAATTTAAAAAAGTCTTTATTTAAAAGCTTT